TCTCATCTCATCTCATCTCATCTCATCTCATCTCATCTCATCTCATCTCATCTCATCTCTTCTCATCTTTCTCTTGAATTTCTGTAGCCCGTCTTACAATCATTTCCTTTGCTCAACTGTCATCCTAACTCCCCAGTATTACATACCTCTTCGACTTTCCTACACCACTGGTTTCCATAGAAGCATTTGGCCCATTTGTTAGAGCTTCCTCTGTATTTAGAGTCGTTTGACGGCATTACAGCCAACACGACCGAATTCACACATTCGGTAATTCTTCTCTTCTTGCAAGCTACTTAAACGTGTCCTCTTTTCGCAACAACTTATGCAAATTTCCCAATTGGTCTGTAAATCAGAGTATTGCGATATGCTGTGCCCGAATTACTCGAACGCAAGCACACATCACACACAAATTCATAATATCATTGCGATTATATGATCAGATGCATATACTAAGCACACACACACGCTCACACACGGATGTCACTCGCAAAGACTGCACTCGCATGAGTAAGCGTGGAAGTTCAGGACGGAGTCTTCTTCTCGCGAGGCCAGAAAAGACGACGGAATCTCCTGAGCGTCCAGAGGAAGCGGGTTAACCACGTTACGGCATGACAGTTTGGCCAACGAATCTGCACGAGTTCTCTGGAAGCCCATTGGTTCGGGCGAGAGGCGGAATTTGATTGGATCGTCTCAGCCAGATCGATCGATAAGACTGGCCTAATCGGCCAGCGCAATGGCTGGAAATGCGCAACACTGAGTCATTCTTATCCGGCGACAGTCAGGTTTGCTTCTTGTGCCCTCAAACGGTCAATCTGCGCTAATGGTGCGCTGGTGATACTCGGTCAAGACGCTGGAGGTAGAGCGGAATACAGATGGGTAACTTCGTCATAACTTGTTGATCATATATCGTTGCCAATTCTTACGTTGAATTGTTACTTGAGCCTCTTTCACATCTTGTTATCGCTTTAAAAATGGCTGAAGGACACTTTTACTATATTCTTTCCTTGTGAGTTTCCACTACTTTGCCGCGACTGGACAGACGAAGTGCACTAATTGTGAACACATCAACTGAACTGTGCTTATTTCTTTTTTTACCAAAAATCCTTCTTCTTCTCACATTCTGGCTCCACCTTCAACGCTTAATTGTCACTTCTTTCTTAAATTTGCTTTAGGTAAGCCAGTAGAATACATGAAAACCTTCACCACGAAGTCCGGTGAACGAGTCAACCTATTTCGAGGTGTGTCAACTAGTCACTGATTAGCCCAATCTCATTCGCTCTGTTTGCTGCCGCCTACCTAACACGCTTGTTTGGATATCGTCATGCCCTCGTTTTGCTTCATAACTGCTCTAACCTTCTCGTTGCCGACATGATGCCGAGCCCGCCTGAACTTTTAATCCACAGAATGGTTGAATACTCGAGTCTGTGCGTTCGCCTTGGAAGGGCAACTTTGTATGTTAAAGTGATTTAAAGGCGTGTCTGTTACTCGGCCGGGCTTTACTCATCGGGTCGGGCCATTGCATTATTTTCTTTAGCAGCTTTCCTCTTCTAAAAGACCCGCAATGGATTCAATTCCGGTCTTGGTTACCGTTCTTTTATTACTATTGCCGCTCTGCTCTCGATTCCTGCTTACCCATAGACTCGCATTTAATATCTTTGTCTAAATTTATGCTCAATTCTAGCGTCTATTTTAGCCTTGTCTCTTCGTTAGACCCCGGGACTCGCAGGAGCCATCTTCATCGAGGGCTGCTTCATAACATATAAGTTTACTATCCAGCCGCTTCGAAGACGCTTGATGCTTTTCGGCAAGGTGTTTTCCTATTGCTGTTTTCTCCCATTCCGCATGAATGTCGTTTGCGTGGTCCATTTTTTGCCAAGCCCGTCTTAAGCCTACTCAGATAGGCACATACCTTGTATGCTTGTTCGTTTGAGAATTTTTCGTTTGTCCGACTTAATTTTCATCTGGTTGGCATCGCCTCTTTGTTGGATACACCGTATACGCCGTGATTGCCTAAGAAGAATGAAGCTGTCATCGTGCCAGTGTGTGCGTGTGTATGTGTGTATGTGTGTGCGTGTGTATGTGTGTATGTGTGTGTGTGTGTGTATGTGTGTGTGTGTGTGTGTTTGTTTGTGTGCAGGAAATTGCGCAGTTCATACACACATATTCACTCATATGAGTAGGCATCTTTGTAAATGGGAGCTTGATATGCCGTCTGTGACTACTGACTGACTACTCATAGGTTGGGTATTATGGGGCCGGTTAGGGCTATGGCGTTTTGTCAGTGCTAACGATGCTGCCACGATAAAAGTGCGACTGAATCATATACAAAATGTGTATTATGCATGTGGTAGAGGCGTACAACGCCCCTGATCACTCACTCTCGAGTCGTGTTCCTTGTTGAATCACACCTTTATGCTGGAGAAAGGCATACTCGGTGGGCTGTTACCAAGCCAGCAATCTTCCCAAATACTTGGGCGTACACGAAGTCGGGAGTCGGGAGTCGGGACTTTTGGTCCAGAATAACTTTGATGTCACTTTGATACAACGTCGAGTTCGCATGCCATTCAACTTTTTTGCATTACGCTAATTTCATGCAGTAAGATAATGTATCAATTTAGCCTAAGATTGAGTGACCTGGACATTTTTAGGTTTGGTCGTTAAAACGCTGTTTATGAGCGCAGTATGAATGTGGGCAAAAATCTCCCAAACCGCCACAGACCGAACTTGACAATGCTGTGGGTGAAGATAGTCGTGACTACTCGGCTGTCGACCTTGGTTGGGCGGCCGTCGGCATTCTTTAGCACCCACTCAGTTTTGCGTTAGTTTGCTTTTGCCAAGCTGCCTCGGGGTGCAGGGCTGGGTTGCTTGTGTCGTGTTGGTCCGCGGAATGCTACTTCGGCGAGGCGTCCACACATTTTCGCACCTCGATGCAGCCTCGAGCCGAGCGGCTGACGGATGACCGAGTTACGGCCTGCAGGGTGGAGGGCTGGGGTTGACTTCTGTACCTATCTCCGACTGGCAACCGGTCAGCCCAAGTACACGGTGAGCGCCCAAAAGTTGTGCGACTCAACTTATTTTCAGCCTGTAACTGCTCTAACCGAGCCAACTGCCCTTCGGCATCAGCTTACCGCCCTAGGCCCACTGATCCGGCCACCTTGTGCCTCGGGGCTTCTCTAGGATTCCGGTTGGTGATTACTCTCAGGTGCCGGCTCGCGTCTGGAGAAGAAGACAGGATAAGCTGGCATTTGAGTGCACCAAGGACGACGCTCACTCGAATCCTTCTGGACGGACGACACCTGCTAGCCGGAGCTCTCCAATTTCACTCTTTTCTCCTTGACCCTCGTTCGCCGACCAATTTTCTGGTTAACATCTCGCCATAAAGTCCGAGCCCTTTTGCATTTACGTTTTTTTCACCGATATATGTCTTCACACCTGGTCTCTATGTAGCCATGACCTAAAGATCGACTTCTTCCGCACACACATACTGCATGTATGTGTGTGCGGTTCTCTCGGTTCTCTCACGCTACGGTAGATCATTCTTTTCGATCACCTTTTCTTCAGGATATTGGGGTACGAGTTGGTATGGTTTAGAAGCTATAGTGTCCCACCTAATACAGAGTTACTTGTTGAGATATAAATAGATAGATAACTGAAAAATGTGTATATATAACCAGACAAAGGAAGAGAGACATCGTCAAGGTTAGTTATCTTTATGGGAATGAAGCTTTTGTTCAAGGCTAAAGCTTGTGGTTGACACTATCCTGTTTTGAGTTGAACTTTGCAATAGGACTTACCTTTCACAGCTCGTCGAGAATCGAATAAAATAAAAAGCTTTCAAAGTATGCTTTAGTTGGCAACACTTTTTTACCTTTTGCTAGTTGGCCTCTTAAAATTATACGCCCATTATTGCCATCAGTTATCGCCTTATTTCAAATTACAGTCTGAACCCGAGACCTGCCACGCAAAGGTTAGAAATTGTGCAACCTCTTGCAAGCTTCTTTTGATGTTTGCTGCGTTGAGCTCGACCCCCGTCTAGGGAGCCTCAAGCATTGGCATCTCTTCTAGCACAGACTTCGCTGGTCCGGTTCTACTGCTGTTCCTCCTTGGGCATAATAAGCGCGCGCACGGGAGCCAGCGAAAGAGAGATAGAGAGACAGAGAGAGAGAGAGAGAGAGAGAGAGAGCAAACTGACTTTTGTAACCAACATTTCTGCATTTTTAGATCGATCCTATGCCAAATCAGGCCAGATTCGCCTTAGGTCGCACACCTTATTTAAGGCGCGAAAGCAAACTGGAAAAATAATGAGAATGAGAGAAGGTTAAAGAATGTTTTGGTTAAGCCGGAATAAAAAGTCAATAAGAAGCCTTTACGCATTAAAATTTGTGCAAACCGGAACAAGGGCATGCATACATTCATATATAATTACCTCTAGCACGACACACAGGCCTGAATATGCACGCTCGCATGCCTGCTGGCAGATTCCACCGCCAGAAAGACGAGTAGATGAACAGTCAGACGAGTGACTATAGCAACAGGCTCATTCATGCAGGTCGGGATGGAAGCTAGAGTGAATGTGTCTCGAATTCATATACACCCGCTATGGAATGCCTTGGTGCCGATTGTCGAGGCAACACAGCACCCTGAAGAATGGACCACCTGACGAATGTATCAGTCAGAGGTCGGGGTCTCCATTGATTTCCTGCGCACGCAATGGTACCGTCGGCAGCAGAGTTGGCGTAACATCTTGCGAGGATCGGAATGAAATTGGACGACCAATTTAATGTAATGCCTCCTTACATTTGCCTCCTCGAGCTACTTAATCTGTTGAAACTATTCTCGCATTTCTGCGTACTTTACATGAACTCATTTTTGAGAAGACTTTCTTAAACAGCCTTTGTCTTCTGCTAAGCATCACCACTACAGTCGCTCAGTATAGCCGTTTCTTCGCCACTTTTGCCACTTTGAACTCTTGATTGTAGGTTTACTCTATCACATCACTTGACCGAGTCCATTTTCACATCTATTACACTGGCCTGGCTATAGGAATTCGAACTATTGGCTGAGAAGCTCGCTTTTTCGGTATAGCATTTTTTTGTCATTATTCTCAACTTTTGATGGCAAATAGGCTAAAAAGGGAGTTTACATGCTTTTTCGTAAATAAATACGTTTTGGAGACTATCAGTACATCACATATATTTGAGATGTATGTGTCTCGAAAACCTCCG